ATTGACTGGTTTGATCTCCTATCCAAGGGACTCTCAACAGTCTTCTCCAACACCACAGTTTGAAAGCACCAATTCTGTGGTTCTCAGCCTTATTTATGGTCCAACTATTACATCCATCCATACATGACTACTGGAAAAGCCATAGTGTTAATTATATGGATCTTTGTTGGCAAAGTGATATCTCTGCTTTTTAATATGCTATCTAGGTTTGTCATAGCTTTTCTTCCAAGGAGCAATTATCTTTTTATTTCATGGCTACAGTCACCAACTACAGTGATTTTGAAGCCTAAGAAAATAAAATCTGTCACTGTTTCCATTGTTTCTCCATCTATTTGCCACGAAGTGATGGGACCAGATGCCATGATCTTAGTTTGTTTGAGCACTGAGTTTTAAGCCAGCTTTTTCACTCTCCTCTTTCACCCTCATCAAGAGGCTCCATAATTCCTCTTTGCTTTCTGCCATTAGAGTGGAATCATCTGTGTATCTCAGGTTATTGATATTTCTCCTGGCAATCTTGATTCCAGCTTGTGAGTCATCCAGCCTGGCATTTTGCATGGTGTACTCTACATATGTTAAATAAGCAGAGTGACAATATACAGCCTTGTTTCACTTTTTTCCTAATTTTGAAACAGTCTGTTGTTCCAGGTCTGATTCTATTACTGCTTGACCTGCATACAGGTTTCTCAGAAGACAGGTAAGGTGATTATGGTATTCCCATCTCTTTAAGAATTTTCCAGTTTGTTGTGATACACACAGTCAAAGGCTTTAGCATAGTCAACGAAGCAGATGTTTTCTTGGAATTCTCTTGCTTTCTGTATGATCCAATGAATGTTGGCAATTTGATCTCTGGTTCCTCTGCCTTTTATAAATCCAGCTTGTACATCTGAAAGTTCTTGGTTCACATACTGCTGAAGCCTTAGCTTGAAGGATTTTGAGCATTACTTCGCTAGCAAGTGAAATCAGTGCAATTGTATCTTTACTTAATTATAAAATCCTCCACTCCTTGCTTCTTCCTTGATTGCTGATCTGGATATTGAATTAATTTTATCCTTTCTATTTAAAGAAATTATTTTGTGTGAAATTGCTAGTATTAGACTATTCTCACTTATAAGAAGGTCACTTTCATGTGGTTTATCCTACTAATTAAAAATATAGCAAAGTGGTACATTTGCATGGCTAAAACCTAAACATGGCCATTAGATTAACAACATAAAAATGTTACTTGTGTCTCATTTTGCTAAACAGTTAGTTTCTCAAGAATAAGCATATCTGCTTGTTTCTTTTCTTTTGTTTGTGGTTTTTTTTTGCCTTGAGATGGTTTCCCTTAAATGTCTGGTGAGCCTTTATTTCCTGTTCAAACATAACATTGTCATATCAAAAATGGTGAACAGACTCTACGTTGTCATTAATAAAGTTTGTCATTAGTAAGGGGCTTTCTTTGGGGAAATTTGATAGGGAGTGCTCACTAAGCTGAAATTTCCCAAATATTAGAAAGTGATGTCTTCGATCCAGACTTCTTTGTTTCTCTAAAGAAAAGTCTCTCATCTCCTCTTGGGAGCAGGGTGCATGGTTGCTGGCGCTTTTCTCACTGGTGGCAGGGAAGACAGGCTCACACGGAGGGTTCAGGTGGGTACCGTTCCAGGCACAGGTTTTCATGAATCCCTCTGTTTTCAGAGGGGTGTCTCTTTTCTGCTCTGGATGCCCTGAATCTCAGTGTCCAGAGTGCCTCCCCATGTGTGTGGACTGTGGTTTCCTTCACTTTGTGTGAACTTCAAGGCACCTGCTATGAAAGAGGTACTGTAATGACACTGCTTTCTTGGAAGAAAAGGGCGGTAAGGGGGATATTTGGTTCTCATCTTTAAGCTGGAAGGTTTCTCCTCTGACAGCAAAATTTGAGAACGTATGCAGTAACTCAACTTTTGGGGCAATTTTAACATTTTAAGGCACCAACTTATTGTGTTTCCTGAAAGCGGTGATAAGAGAATAGTTGATTATTTAGCTTTGGCTTTGTTTTAAATATATTATGCCAATCTTGTGTCAGAAAATACAGATCAAATTTTGATACAGTGTTTTCTTAGAAAAAATTACTTAACTACTCTTTAATGCCCTACTTAGGGTGTAACCAAATTTTATTTGAGAAACAAATTTATTCTTTTCTCTATATAAATTTTTCCCCAGATAAAGATATTGTACTTTGCAAAAGCATATATTATTTGGGAATTCTAAATGTCTTTATTGGTTTTCATGAAATATTTGGTTAAGAAAAAATGACCTGATATTTATGGCATCACCAACTCTGTGGACCTGAATTTGAGCAAGCTCTGGGAGGTGGTGAAGGACAGGGAAGCCTGGTGCTGCAGTCCATGGGGTCTCAAAGAGTCGGACATGACTGAGTGACCAAACAAGACAATTGAGCATCTCGCTGGGAGCATGGAAGGAATGGGGACTTTTCAGAGGCAAACAAAGAGAAGGTGGTAACTCTCACTGTCACCCTTTCCCAGAGGCATAAACTGAGCCTTAGAAATTTTTCAAGTGGAATTGAAACGAGTGCCTGATTTTGTATTTTGTAATTGAGTGTTCTTTCTCTTCCATACTTTTGAATTTCTTGGCCAAGGCTGACTGAGCGTCATCCTTCACACAGTAAGCACATATTCATGCCTCTTCTCTTTTGTTGTTGTGTCGCGTGCAGGCAGATTTGAGAGGAATCTGTGTGGCCAAGTCCCTGTGCTTGGCACGCGGTGCCCACTGGCTCCAGGGGGCTCTGTCCTGGGCTGCGTCCCTGGCATTCTCACGCCGCCCTCTTGTGGCAGAGGCCCAGTCTGCAGAGAAGACTAGGACGCTTATCAGACCCACCTCCAGGGAAATAGCTCCTGCGCGTACGTGCTGCGTCGCTGTAGTCCTGTCTGACTCTTCACCACCTTATGGACCGTAGCCCGCCAGACTCCTCTGTCCATGGGATTCTCCAGGCAAGAAGACTGGAGTGGGGTGCCATGTGAAAAGTGAAAGTGTTAGGCACTCAGTCTGTCCCACTCTTACCCTCCTCCAAATAGGTGCCCACATAGAGGTAAATTTTCTGATTAGATTAGTGATACCTGAGAGGTTGAACACCTTTGATGTTATCAGAGTCAGTAGTTTTCAAATTGTGTTGAGAGAATTCCAAGAAGCTTCATAAGGTCTAAATTTTATATTTAAATTCCTGTTTAACCATTGTGTTTCCTCCATTCCTGGCATGCTTTTTCATGTTTTAATATTCCTGAAGTCAAGATGTGCATTACAGTTGATGCAGTGAGGTCTCTGGTCACTAGGAAAAAGTATCAACTCATGGGTGGTGAATGTTCAGGTGAAAGGATCTCAACATCGAGAACAGTCAGGCTGTAATCACTACCTATTCCTCAATGTTTAGATGCAAGAGGACCATATGTCTTTCTTTTTAGAAGTCAAATTATATTTAGTGGAGGCTCCCACGTGTCAGGATGTTTCCACATCCTGTTCACAAGTTTCTTTTTGTCTTCTGCACCAGAGCACCAGCTTCATGTGCAGCCCAGGGAAGCCCCACAGCATCCTGGTCCCTCTCCGGGGCATCGCCTCACTCCCAGCCCTGTGACCCCCATGTGCTGGCCCCTCACGGGATGGGAGAAAGGGCAGCTGCCCTGCTTTCCTGGGAGGGTGCTCCTCAGAGGACTTCTCAGAGCTCAGATGCTGGTGGCACTTTTCTCCTTAAACTGCGGTCCAGATTACATTTCGTCTCAGGTTGGTCTTTCTGCTTCTTGTCCGCACTCGGGGACCACATGAAGCTGGCCAGCTATAGCGATTGCCTCGCCCCTGTGTGTCATTCTGAGTGTTGTCCTCCAAACTTCATTCCTGTGTTGGAGCCGGTAGAAAATATAACTAAATAGTCGCTTCATTTCTATAGCCGCTATCAATTATAGTTTGCATTTTTTATCTCTATTTGTCATGCCAATGGCCTTTTTTTTTTTCCTTCCAGTTTATCCAACTGAAATAACCTCTGCCCAGGAAACAAAACACTCAATATTTTGACAGTTGTTAGATTAACTTATGTGCCTTTTCCTAATATAAATTGAACTTGCATGGTTTTGCTTTCCACACCTGCTTTCATATAATATCTGGCTAATGTTTCTCTGGTCAATAACACTGTGGTGCTTACTTTTATGTGTCAACGTGAGGCCTAAAGGTGCCCAGAGTAAGGGTTATTTCTGGCCGTGTCTGTGAGGGTGTTGCTGGGTGTAGTTAGCACTTGAATCAGTGGACTCAGCCAGGCGGACAGCCCTCCCTCTGCGGTGGGCATCGTCTCGTCTGTTGAGGGTCTAGACAGAAGGAAAGGCAGAAGGAAGAGGGCTCACCCCTTTGCTTCCTGGCCTCCTAGACTGGGCTGGGGTTGGGGGTGCTCTCTTCAACAAGAATACCCAGGCCAGAGCCAGCAGCATCCTCAACCAGGGCGGGAGCAAGGGGGTGAAAGCCCTGCACTGAGAGTAATTACTGTCAGCAGTTGGCAGGATTCTTCCAGATAAGGTTTTTAGTCTATTTTGTCTCCTGTTTTCTTATTTAAACATTATTTATGCTCTACATACTTTTCATATATAAAAGTATTAATGGCATTCATTGGCTAAATCAAATCTCATTTAACCAAAACATATGATTTATTTAAACCAGTTTCTTAGTTGTGAGTCTTTTAATAACTTTATTTCTTCTTCACTTTCTGTCTTATATATCTTCATATAAATGTGCCTAAACAAATGAAATCATTTAATTTGGATAGATACTGCAAAGTGGGATTAATTAGACAAAGATTATGAGCTTTTTAATAGTTCACATTTGTGGTGCTGCTTTTCTCATCAGACAGATGGTGCCGGTGCACGCGTGGCTCAGTGGTAAAGAATCCACTGGCCGATGTAGGAGATGCGGCTTGATTCCTGAGTGGGGAAGGTCCTCTGAAGAAAGCAGTGCAACCCACTCCAGCGTTCTTGCCTGGAAAAGTCCCATGGACAGAGGAGTCTGAAGGGCTGCAGTCCATGGGGTCACAAAGAGCCAGACATGGCTTATGACGAAACAACAGCAGGTATGGTTCATCACGAACGTGTTGATAGTATTGTTTTCTAACTTTTTAAAGTTCATAAACTGCAAATATTTTGCTCTTGTTTTATTAATTCTTTGTAAATGATGTTTTATGTTTTTGAAATTATACTGCCCAGTTTCATAGTGTTTATGAATTATTTCTAATTACAAGTCCCTGACTTGGATGTTACTGTCTAGAGAATTTAACCCTGAGGTCCTTAATGGGAGTTACATTGTTATATAACCTCATGTGTGAAGCATGTCTCTGCTTCATTTCAAGGGTCCTGTGAGTTATCGGTACCACTTGTAGGTTTGGCTTAGCATGACGGCTGTCCAGCCTGTCACTGAGACACTCTCAGCCCTGTGCTTCTGGTGGGTACTGGACTGTCTTCTTCAGCTGACTATCCAGCGTCCAGACACACGATGGCATCATGAGCTAGGGAAACAAGCTAACTCATAGTTTCTGATCACTGTGTTTTCAGGTCAAGAGGAGGCTTATCTTCTAAAGGCTCAGATCTCCAAATACTGACTCCAAGGGAAAATTAGCATGCTTGCTGTAAGTTGACCTTGTTTTAATAGAAATAGTAGTAATGCTCTGGGCCACTATAAGTCACTGGCTTGATATAAATTAACCAAAGAATTCTTTAGGGTATGGTTTAATCATTTTAGCCATCCAGAAGCCTGGGGATGATAAGGACTATGGTAAGTTATAATAGGCATTTATAGGGTTTTAGAGAGCCCTAAGTTACCATGGAAACAAAATCGCTTCCGCTGTTGGATTCTAGATGGTCCGGATGATGCAGTCCAGGAGGAGCTGGAGTGGTGTAATTCAGGAAGACCATGACCACCGTGTCAGCAGCACTGATTTTAGCCACTGAAAACACTACCTCACCTTCTGATGGCAGAATTTCTAGAAAGCCCATTTCCGCCAAGTCCCAAGTCATGATGACTCAAGTGAGCTTCCTTGCCTTAGATTAATGTTCTTCAAAGGTAGTTTTTCTGACAAATGGCACTCCTTTAAATGGCAACGCACTCCAGTATTCTTGCCTGGAGAATCCCATGGAGGGAGGAGCCTGGTAAGCTACAGTCCATGGGGTTGCAAAGAGTCGGACACGACTGAACGTCTTCACTTCTTCTTCTTCTTCACTTCTATTGCAAGTGTGGTAAGAGTCCAAGATTTCCAGTGTATGCTTTTGTTCAAATGAGTTTGCTTGCATGAATAAACCCCCAGAGCACACAGTGGCTGGGACAGGGCCCCTCTGCCTGTGTGTCTCGCATGGACAAGCACTGTCGAGTCAGCACGTAGACTGGGGACATCAGAGGAGCCAGACAGAGGGCAAGCATCTCCCTGAAGGGGAGTTTTTCGTACATTACTTTCATATATTTACATATTTTACATTCTTGAGATCACAATTTTGTAGTATTTGGAAATCTGTCATTTTCACCCTTTACTAAACATATTCCAAATTTCTATACAGTCCTGTATCTGTGAATAGTGACTAAATAAGTTTTAAGAGAACTAAATGTGATGACTTCACGTGCAGGCTGTGAAGCTGTGAATGGTGTGCAGAGGTTAGGGTGTCCCTTCTAGCTCCAGGCCTAAGGAATGGCACCAGTGCCAGTGGGTGCAGCCAAGTCTTCTCTGGGATCTCCATGTCTCCCCCTCCATTCTTGCCTCAGTGCTCACACTAGGAGAGCTTTGGTGTTTGATATAATTTATTCAGCACTGTATTTATAAAGCAAATTATGTAAGCGCATGTATGCGGGTTGTAGGTCTTTTGCAGAGTGCCTCACTTCCACAGAGTGCAGGCTCACCTCAAGGCGTTTGCGACCACCTTCTCTGGAAGTGCCCCTTCTTGCCTGCTGATAGATTTCAACAGACCCCATTATCAGCACCATGACACTTGCACCAAAGGGCTATAGCTCATAAGTAGGACTAGAATTTTCCCATTTACATATTTCATGTCTGAAACCTTGAGGTTCTGCACGGTTATGATGTTGCAAGTTGACTTTCCTTACTTCCTTCAAAACCTGAAACAGAACGCAGTGCTTTTCTGTGCTTTTACAATGAGGAAGAAGTGGCGCGGCTGCCGTGTCATCTGAGAACTGCTGCTGACGTTGTGCACTTCCAGGTCAGGGCACTGTTTCTGCCTCGTCTCAGAAGAGCCTAGTCTAGGTCACCTCAGCCCAAGCGTCCACTTTCTCCAGTTCCTCAACTGTGGCCAAAAAGTTTCTTTGAGTAATTCGGAATTCCTGCAGCTTAGTTCCAAAAATACCAAAGTCTAGCAGTAATAATCCTGGCCACTTGGAACCAGAAGCAGTGCTGTCCTGTGACCGAAGCCCCAGCCTGGAAGGTTGGTAGTGGAGAGATCAGAGCTCACGGCTCCTGCTCAGAGTCCTCCCTGCAGGGCGGCAGCTGCGCGCCGCCGTGGTGCCCATGAGGCCTGGTCCTGGGCTCATCCTACAGTTCCAGGCCCGGTCCTCCAGGGGGTGCTGAGTTCTCTTGAGGCCGTTATTGCAATGAACTGTGCTGTCCAGCTCAGCAAGTCCTGAGCCTGTCATCACACAGCTTTACAGCTCATCATTAGGATATGAGCCACGCATTGAGCGTTAAGACATAATGGTCATGCATCAGCCACGGGTTCCACCAGATGCTTCACTTCACAGGTGCAGTGTGAAGCCATTCAGTTCTAGATGTGTTTCTTCACATGAATGACCCAACCCTACAAGTGAATTTTATTTCTGCTCACAGATTTCTGGGCTTTGACATGATTCCAGGTGAACAGAAGCACAGAATCTCCATGCTTTTTAAAAAAATGTCTTAGATCATTAGTGAAAAGACATAAATATTTAATTGCTGTGGAGAGCAGAAAGTACCATCATTATAAGCACTGTCATTACTGAAACTCACCTCTTTTCAGCCCTCTGGTAGGTTGAGCTCTTCAAGTCCTTGATTCAGGTTACTTTTCTAAACTAAGAATGAGAGGAGACTCAGAAAACAGAAGTACAGACTGTGACCAGAACATGACATTTTGACTGGTTACTTTGCATTGCCTTTGAAAAGTTATTTAGGCAACAACCTTGATGACTCAGCTGGTAAAGAATCCACCTGCAGTGCAGGAGACCCTGATTCAATTCCTGGGTTGGGAGGATCCACTGGAGAAGGGGAAGACCAATATTCTGGCCTGGAGAATTCCATGGACTGTGTAGTCTCTGGGGTTGCAAAGAGTTGGACACAACTGAGCGACTTTCACTCACTCACTCATTCATAGCCCTGTGGTCTCGAACTGGCTGCATATTAGAATTATCCTGAGAACCTGAAAGAATAATAATAATCAGATCCCTTTCAAAGTCCTCTTACCATTTTAATAGGCATTGTTTGAAATCCATCAGTCAAATAATTCTAGAAATTTTGCATAAGAAGAAATTATGAAGAAGATATGATTCAATTCTGTTCTTTCATAGACAAGAGCCAAGGGATTTACTGAAGTCCTGTAATTATTGAGACAAAACGTGATGTAAAATCCAAGTGAGTCTGCCTTTTGTCAATTGTTCTTTGAGAAACAACGTCTTTTGTGCAAGCTTTGAGCAGAGATCTCTTTTCTCTTCATTTTCTAAGTTCTAGTCTTTTCAGTCCCTGATGGTTCAGTTGGTAAAGAGACTGCCTATAATGCAGGTAGACCTGTGTTCCATCCCTGGGTCAGGAAGATCCCTGGAGAGGGAAATGGCACCCACTCCAATATTCTTGCCTGGGAATTCCTATGGACAGAGGAGCCTGGCGGGCTACAGTCCATGGAGTTGCGAGAGTCGGACACGACTTAGCGACTAAACCACTACCGGGCTAGTCAAAGTGTCAACCAAATTTTAGTTAGAAGGAAACCTTTACCGATTTTAAGAGCATACATTTTTATCTCTTGTTAAAAGAGGCTATCTCTGGGAACTCAACACAACCTCTTTCAGTTAAGAAATCTCTTCATAAACAGCAATAAAGTCACTGATGGAAAATACGGGTTTCCTGGTTAAAGTCTGTAAGTCACAACAGCCTGTAGCGATTTATATCTGCTGTCCTTGGTTTATACCTTGGCTTCTGCCAAGTGGGCTGGTCCATTGTTTAAACTCCTTCAGAATTTTGTCTTGTCTTCCCCTCTGTAGCCCATAATATCTACCTTAATGCCAAAACAAAACAAGTCACACTTTTATCATCTCTCTTGTGTCTGACTCTATGAAAGGTTTTCAGGAAATAAATATGAACAAGACTTGGAGGATAAATGTATATGTATAACTGAACCATTTTGCTGTTCATCTGAAACTAATCAGTTCATTTCAGTTCAGTCACTCAGTCATGTTCAACTCTGACCCCATGAACTGCAGCACACCAGACTTCCCTGTCCACTACCAACTCCTGGAGCTTGCTCAGACTCATGTCCATTGAATTGATGAATCCATCCAACCACCTTGTCCCTTCTCCTCCTGCCTTCAATCTTTCCCGCATCAGGGTCTTTTCCAGTGGGTTAGTTCTTTGCATCAGGTGGCCAAAGTATTGGAGTTTCAGCATCAGTCCTTCCAATGTATATTCAGGGTTGATTTCTTTAGGATTCTCTGGTTTGATCTCCTTGCAGTCCAAGGGACTCTCAAGAGTCTTCTCCAAAACAACAGTTCAAAAGCATCAATTCTTCAGTGCTCAGCTTTCTTTATGCTCTAACTTGCACATCCATACAGGACTACTCGAAAAATCATAGCTTTGACTAGACGGACTTTTGTCAGCAAAGTAAGGTCTCTGCTTTTTAATATGCTGTCTAGGTTGGTCATAACTTTTCTTCCAAGGAGCAAACATCTTTTAATTTCATGGCTGCAGTCACCATCTGCAGTGATTTGGAACCCAAGAAAATAAAGTCTGTCGCTGTTTCCATTGTTTCCCATCTATTTGCCATGAAGTGATGAGACTGAATGCCACGATCTTCATTTTTTGAAAGTTGAGTTTTAAGTCAGCTTTTTCACTCTCCTCTTTCACCTTCATCAAGAGGATCTTTAGTTCCTCTTCATTTCTGCCATAAGGGTGGTGTCATCTGCATTCCTAAGGTTATTGATATTTCTCCTGGCAATCTTGATTCCAGCTTGTGCCTCATCCAGCCCGGCATTTCATTTGATGTATTCTGCATATAAGTTAAATAAGCAGAGTGACAATATGCAGCCTTGACATACTCCTTTCCTGATTTGGAACCAGTATGTGGTTCCATGTCCGGTTCTAACTGTTCCTTCTTGACCTGCATACAGATTTCTCAAGAGGCAGGTCAGGTGGTCTGGTATTCCTATCTCTTGGAGAATTTTCTCTGTTGTGATCCACTCAGTCAAAGGCTTTGGCCTAGTCAATAAAGCAGATGTAGATGTCTTTCTGGAACTCTCTTGCTTTTTCTATGATCCAACAGATGTTGGCAATTTGATCTCTCTTTCCTCTACCTTTTCAAAATCCAGCTGCAACATCTGGAAGTTCACAGTTCATGTACTGTTGATGACTGGCTTGGAGAATTTTGAGCATTACTTTGCAAGCATGTGAGATGAGTGGAGTTGTGCGATAGTTTGAGCATTCTTTGTCATTTCCTTTCTTTGGGATTGGAATGAAAACTGACCTTTTCCAGTCCTGTGGCCACTGCTGAGTTTTCCAAATTTGTTGGCCTATTGAGTGCAGCACTTTCACAGCTTCATCTTTCAGGATTTGAAATAGCTCAACTGAAATTCCATCACCTCCACTAGCTTTCTTTCAAGTGATGCTTTATAAGGCCCACTTGACTTCGCATTCCAGGATGTCTGGCTCTAGGTGAGTGATCACACCATCATGATTATCTGGGTTGTGAAGATCTTTTTTGTGTATTCTTCTGTGTATTCTTGCCACCTCTTCTTAATATTTTCTGCTTCTTTTAGGTCC